TAATATTTACTCTCTCAGCAACTTTCAAATCACAATACAGTGTTGTTAACTAGTCACCATGCTGTACATTACATCCCTGGGACTTACTTATTTTATAACTGGACATTTTGACCCCCTTCACCTGTATCACCCACCCCCTACCTATCTGTTTTCTATGAGTTCAGTTTGTTTTTTGGTGTTTTTGTTTTTAGATTCCATATATAAGTGAGGTCATATGTATGGTATTTGTCTTTTACTTATTTCATGTAGCTTAATGCACTCGAGGTTCATCCATGTTGTTGCAAGGACAGAATTTCCGTTTTATAGCTGAATAATATTCCATTTCAGTAATATTATACTTCCATTGTAGTGATATTCCATCATCTATCAATGGACACTTAGGTTGTTTTCATGTCTTGGCTATTGTAAATAATGCCATAATGAACATGGGGATATCTCATCTTTTGGATGATAACCATTCTAATATGTGAGGTGGGATCGCATTGTGGTTTTGATTTGCATTTCCCTGATGATTAGTGAGCTTTCACTTTTTGATGAACATTTGGGTTGTTTCCAGTTTTGGGGATATTGTGACTAAGGCTTTTATGAGTGTTTGTATATAAGACTTTGTATAGAGAAATGTTTTCAGAGCTTTTAGATAAATCTCTAGGAGGAATATGACTAGGTCATGAGATGGGTCTATGTTTAACTCCTAAGAAACTGCCAAGCAGGTTTCTAAAGTGGCAGTGCTATTTAACTTTTCTGCATACAGTGTATGAGTGGTCCAGTTGCTTTGTATCCCAGCAGGCACTTGGGCTTTTTGATGTTAGCCGTTCTAATAGGTGCATAGTGGTATCTTATTAGGTTTTCATTTACATATTCCCTGATGGCTAGTGCTAAAATGGGGTGCCTGGATTTTAATCTTTTCATCCAGAAAGTTTTATTTTATCATTGTTGAAACTTTTGTTCCTTACAGCTGAGGCTCATAATAATTTTTAAAAGCACTCAAAGGACACACTGATTTGTTAAAGGTTGTAGTGGCCTATATAGTCTCAGGCTTTGTTGGGGAAAGGAATGCATTTAAAATAGGAAGTATAGTACTCATATAATTACATTTCAATCTTAACTTTTAAGTCTCTGTGTCTGATAGTTTATGCTTTATTTTAAATGGTGACTATTACTTTGTATATTTTCTCATTTAGATGAGAATGTATTTCCTGTGATCATACCAGGTCTAGATAACCAATAAATATCTCTAAATAATCAACTGACAGGAGGATTTCCCACTCTTGTCCAGGTTCCTGATGTTATCAGCAGCATAAGACAGTTATCCAAAGCTGCCATGAAAGAGGACGCCAGAGCCAGCAAGGACAATGAGGACGCCTTCTACAACTCGCAGAAGTTCGAGGTCCTGTACTGTGGGAAGGTGACCGTGACCCACAAGAAGGCCCCGTCCAGCCTCATCGACGACTGCATTGAAAAGTTCAGCCTGCATGAGCTGCAGCGCCTGCGGATCCAGGGCGAGCAGCGCGCCCCTGAGGCCGGCGACGACCCGGGCGTCTTCGAGGCCGAGGGGCCCGGCTCTCCAACAGACCTGCCAGACGACGGGGCCAGCGTCGCCAGCGCCCACCTGGCCTTCCCCACTGCGGCCAGCCAGCCCGGGCTTCCTAGCCCTCGACTTGGCTTCCCTGAGCGGATTTTGGAAGATTCTGGCTTTGATGAACAGCAGGAGTTCCGGTCTCGGTGCAGCAGCGTCACCGGCGTCCTGCAAAGGAGGGTTCACGAGAATAGCCAAAAGCCACAGCCGCGGCGGAGACATGCCAGCGCGCCCAGTCACGTCCAGCCGTCAGACTCAGAGAAGAACAGAACGATGCTGTTCCAGGTGCTGTGCACTGTCAGGGTGCCCCGGGGGTGGCAGCATCCGGTGCTGGACGAGGCAGCCAGACGTCCAGCACACGCCCTTCCTCACTCTGCAAGAGTCCAGTTCTACTTCCCCCGTGGGAAGCCGGTCATGCAGGTGGAGAAAGCAGAGAGTAGACAGGGCCTGAGGTGGGCACGGACCGTGGATTGCAAGGCACAAGGGAGCAGGGCAGGGAGAGATGGAGAGAGCAGCAATGAAAGGAGCATCATGGAAGGCTGGTGGGATGAATAAGAATAGATCACTTAGTATAACCGTTTGCCTTAGGTTGGTTCTTAAATAAACGTTGTTGGTTTTTAAAGAGCTGGGAAAGCCAGTCTTACAGAGGATTTTGATGTGAATCTCAGAGAGTGATGAGGCATGGAGGCAAAGGAGTTTTCTGGAGAGGAAAAAAGAGAAGTCCAAAGACTTAGGTGTATTTTTAGATGAGAATACACCAATTTATACTATCACACAAAAGAAAAGGTTAAAGAAACACCATAGGCCTGACAAGTTTAGTTATTACAGTTTGGTGCAAGCTGTATTACAGGTGTAAAAGATACATCTGAATTCTAAAAAGTAGTTTTTGAAGTTGTACAGGTTACAGACAGTGTCAAGTTCCATTTAAAAGAGCTCAATTCATAATGATGCCCTGTGGAGTTTCTTTAATTAATACTCGGCTTGTAAGATCTGAGTTTTCTTGAAAAAAATGAGGGTCCTTTCATCCTGTTTACAATGAGAAGGAAATTCCACAGTGTATCTTGATAAACAAACAGTCCCAGTGTGTAATATTTGCTTTTTCAGAAGTTCTTAGGTTCTTTCATTTTGTTTTGTTCTGTTCTGTTTTTGATACTTCTAGATATATAATTAAAGTATCTTTAGTTTTTTTCTTTGGTGATAACGAAATTTCCCCTTTTCTTTGGGCTATCATATTTATTATTTTTCTTAGCTAGCTGCAGTCCTTGCTATTAATTTTTCTGACTGGTAATTTATTTTCAAAGAATTTAACTTAACCTCCCCAATTGCAAATTTATCTTTCTGTTGATCATTTGGGAGAAAGTGTGATTATAAATTATATTTAAATAATTGGGATTTTTAGAAATCATGAAGTGAGGCAAGGTTGTACTTTTTCAAAAAGACAGTCATTGTTAATCTTGGAAAAAATGGTTTCTTGTTTCTTGGAAATGAAGAGCAACTTGGTTTTCATGATTTTTAGACAAAAGGATTTGTCTAAATGATTTGAGGCAGGTGATATTTGGAGTTCATATACCCATTGGGTTGGCTATGGAAGCATACATGAATATGTTTATCTGTGATATAGTGTTTGAGTTTATATTATTAGTTGAATATTTAAAGTAAAGATGGTAGGTCTTTGTGAGTTGAAATTAATTGGAATATTTCTATTTTTAAGGTTGGGCGGTTTGAGATTAACCTTATCAGTCCAGACACCAAATCAGTTGTTCTTGAAAAGAATTTCAAAGACATCTCTTCTTGTTCTCAGGTATGTGTTGAAGTAGATTATAGTATTTGAAGAAACCAGCTATGTATGGTTTATATATTCATCACAAAATAACTGGGCTGAAGCCCCTGCAAATTTTACTATGTTTTTACTTAAAACATTTTTTTAAAGTGGATTTGTCTTAAACTAAGAGGGCTCATGTATTTGTGTTTATGTCAGGCCCTTCAGTACCATAACAGTTGGTCCTCGTTTTCATCAGCCCTTTCTCCTGAGACCGTCACCTCATCAGATTCCCTCCACTGATGGAGTTTTTGTAGTGGTGGCTTCTTCTGAAAATATCTTCACAGCTAGTGTTCCTCAGAATCTTGAGCAGGGGGCCTTGTGTATGTCACCGAGTCCTGTTTGCTCTTTATACCTTAGTTGGTAGTAAAGGAGAACTAGTGCTTTCAGCTTGTATTAATGTAAGTGCTACATTTTGAAAAGGAAGTTTTGGTATATTTCGGTTCTTTTATTTTTAATTCACACACTGTGTATCTGAAAGCTTTTGAAGTCACCAGTACAGCTAAATGTGCCCCAGGTCATACTAGGTATCAACTCGTATCCTAAGTACCATAGTAGTAATTTAGAATATCTGGTCAAAAGTTAGAGCTACCTAGATATGTTACCAACATAGGAAGAATTTTTGAAGATGCTGAAGTAGAAGGAATATCTACCTCTAAATATAAGAAGGTTAAAAAATGCAAAGAGGCTTCTAAGGAATAGAGAAGGGTTAACTACTTTCCTAGCACGGTAACTTAGATGTACCTTCAGGAAATGCTATCTTGCCAAGGACACATCTTATATTTTAATGTTGAAAAATCAACAGACTTCTGTTTTTTAATTTCAAACTTAGCATTGCCATAGGAATGATACTCAGACATTCTTCCCTTTGAAATTGACAGGCTTTTATATGTCTTGTTAATTGCTTTAGCCTTAGCTAATTTAGTTTCACCTCTAATAATTTGTTTTAATATTTGTTCTATTTTATGGAGACATAAAATTATGTTGTGAAGATAAACATTTTCTGCCCTAATACCTTAGAGAGAGGCAGCATCGGACGATAGGAAGAATACATGGCAAATTTCTAAATTCCTATTTAAAGGACAAAAAACATGGTGGAAAGATGATTCACTTTAACTGAAAAGTATTTACTATGAATTCTTATAATTACCTCTTTATTGGGGAGTCTCTGCAGCATTATAAGCCCTGTGAGATAGGTGTCCCTTTATGGCATCTTATTCTGTAGAGCCTTGAAATACAGTATTTCAATAGAAAGCTTAACACTTAGGGCTTCAATTAATGTTCAGTGGACATCTCTACATGCTGGGCCTTATGTCAAGAACTGAGGAGAAAATGGTGTACAAACCAGTGTAGTTCCTGCCCCCAGAGCACAGAGAGTCATCCTAAAAAGGCTGTGTCTCTCCTCCCGACGCTCCCCAAGCCACCCAGTAAGTGAACTAGCAATGCTCATTGAACATCCAAAAAAAAAATAATAATAAGAGCAACAGAAAAAAGAACCAAACCAAATGTATAAAACTGGTAGTTCAAACACAATTTTTGCTTTTCCTTTTTTTCCCCTAAAAAAAAGCTTTGTATTCTGACATTGTGGTTCAGAAAAAGAATTAAGCAAAAATGCAAGAGAAATTTGCGGGAAGGTCTTTGATCGGAATAATTTTCTGGCTAACTTCTGCTCCTCACTGAGTGGCCCTGCTCTTACTACTTCCTTTCACAGATTTGAACTGAGAATGTGGTCACATTCAGAAGTAGCTTTTTAATACATACACAACCATACACAGATGTTTCTTTGTCCAGAATTTGAAAGACTGTGTTCCTGGCAAGCATGGGGGATAAGGCAGTAGATTTCTTTAGTGGATACACTGCCACTGCCTGAAGACTGAGCTAGTTGAAGGGTCTATGAATTTTTCCCATTGGTACTAAGCTAGTAAAAGACAGTCTTTAATCACTAATAAATTGTAGCAGACGGAGCTTACTTTCACCTCATGACTTGTAACTTTACTCCTCCATCTTGACTTTTTTTCTTTTTATCAGACTTGATTTTTTTCCGTCCAATATCCACTGGATATTGAGCATATTATTACAGTAGTGGTTTCAGTTCATCAAATGTGTCAGAAACTATCATAGATATTTCTCAGTTCTAAATCTCAAAAAGTCCTTATAGTATGTGTCATTATTATGATTTTATCATGAGAAATAGAGCCTCAGAGATAATTATTAGTAACCTAGTGCAATGTCTTCTACCTAGTAGATGGGTTGAACCAAGGTTAACACACAAATCTGTCTTGACTCCAAAGCCTGCTTTTTTCCAGTGGGATTCAGGTGATTGTAGGACCACTTTAACTTTTTGTCTACCTGGCTTTTCAAAGTACTATGCTTGCTATTAAAATAAGAGTGCTGTCTACTAACCATAGGTTTGTATTCAGGCTGCCTGGAATTCATACATAATTTGGAATTTTTAAATTAAGTTTAGCTGAGGTTACTTAACCTGTGCTCAGGAAGTACAGTAATTTATGAATTTGGATAACTGACATCAGCAATCATTTCTTTAAAGCATTAGTCTTTTAACAGTTATGGCTCTTAAAATGTTTATAAATAGACAAATATTCTAGTATTTTTAATGCATGCTTTTGGGAGTTGCATGCCATCGAGAGCATTGTCAGTTGTAGTTTTTTGATTCTTAGCCTCACATAGACAAGAACAGGGTTTATGCTGAATCATCAGACTGCCTGTTCTAAGAAGACCAATAACTCGAAAATTACATTACTTGCGAACACCGAGTAGCAGTTTTTGCAAACTGCAAAACTAACAGTGGATCACTCCATCATATTTTCTTAACACCGAGTAGCAGTTTTTGCAAACTGCAAAACTAACAGTGGATCACTCCATCATATTTTCTTTCTGTGGCTCTGAGCCACAGAGTTTGTCTGAAACAGTCTGAGTTTGGTCTTACTCTTTATTTTATCTATCAAAAGGCCTCTTGTAAGTTTGCTATGACTTTGTCCTATTAGAATGTCACAAAGGAAAAATTCATGGAAGTGTGAATGTACAAAGCTGATGTTGACTTCCATAGTATTGATTAGGACGTATTCCCATAAACACTGCACTTGTCTTCTCCCTCTAGGGTATAAAGCATGTTGATCACTTCGGCTTTATCTGCCGGGAGTCACCAGAGCCTGGGCTGAGCCAGTATATCTGTTATGTGTTCCAGTGTGCCAGTGAATCTCTGGTAAGGATGTGATTTCTGTCCACATGCTCCTGTCCACACATCCATCTCTTAAGAACGTCCAGCCTCACAGAATGGCCATCAGTGGAAAAAGAAGACAGCATCTGGAAATGTGTTTCTGTTCTTTAGAAGCAGCTCAAAAGTAGAAAAACAAAAATAATTTGTTATGGTAATCATTAAGTCTAGATACTATCTTGAGTTTAACAAATCCAGTCATGGTACCAGTATTTTTGAAAGGTCAAAAAAGACTAATAACAGGGGAAAAGCAGTTACTTTTTCCATTGCTCATGTAGGAGGGTAAGGAAGGCCACTGACCTTATTCTCTTAATTGCTTTAGCATATCATGGTAAGTAATGCGTCTATCAACAGACAATTGAGTCGATCAAAAAACAATGATTTTTGTTTTTTCCCCTTAATTTCATTTGCCCCTGTTCTTATTATTTAAATGCTTTATTCTTTTTGGCCTTATTTTAGTCTTCATTTATTTTCTTTCTTTGAAATTTGAAAATCGATTTTCTCCAACCACCTGCCCCTTCCCTTTATGGGGGCCATTGCAGTTGCAGAAGAAATACTATGTAAGGCAAACTTGGAAATACAGCTGAGTGACTAAAAACATGCTGATGTTTTTCCCCTAGATTTTTTTTTTTGGTATCATTAATCTACAATTACATGAGGAACATTATGTTTACTAGACTCCCCCCATCACCAAGTCCCCCCCACATACCCCATTACAGTCTCTGTCCATCAGCATAGTAAGATGCTATAGAGTCACTACTTGTCTTCTCTGTGTTGTACAGCCCTCCCCATGCCCCCCCCATTATTCATGCTAATCATAATGCCCCCTTTCTCCCCCCTAACCCCCCTTATCCCTGTCTTCCCACCCATCCTCCCCAGTCCCTTTTCCCTTTGGTAACTTTAC